AAATACTGCACATTTTCATTTGGGTATTGTGACAGCCCTTACCTCTGTATGCTCTGATATATAACGCAGTTACCCCAAGGGCTAACTGCTGTAAGGGGCATTTACAGTGCCATTCCTCAGGTATAATACCTGGGTTTATTCAGTAATAATTAAAAATACATTTACCTAGGTATCCAAATTTTATTTTTCCTCTGTCTCTGTTGATGTACATCTAAGCACAACAGGTAACACAGATTTATTGAAAATCCAGATAGATAGCCACCTTAACCACATTATCCTCTGTTCTTCTCACCAGCTGAAGGAGCTGTAATAGCTTATAAGTGAAAGTTTTACCTTTTAGAAAACACAGAGGATATCCTTCGCTGTGTGTCTGTAGGATGCTTACGAGCATGACCCAGATGCGAAAGAGTATATATGATGGAAGCACTAACAAAACCAGTCAAATAAAGTTTCCTCATTTCATCCATCATGGTAGTTTTATGGATAATTCAAGGATAATTCATTGATATAATATTTTGTTTAACAGGTTCTGCTTTAGATTTGCATTTTAATGATGTGAACGTCGCATCCATAGATAGAGAATTAGAAGACCAAGAAGCCAGTGACCTTGGATTAGCAAGTAAGAGGTCCAATTTGTAAAATTATACTCATTCAAACTGCTTTTCTTTCTCACCTTTCTAAACTTTTACTCCTCAAAATAGTTACAGACAGCAAAGACTTTGAAGAAAAGTCCTGAGTTTTGTTCCAGCTGTTTAAGTTTGTAGTGTAAAGGGATTGCACTGCTGTCCTCCTGACTGTATTTTGCAAGGGATCAGTCTGTTAAAAGTTTGGGGTTTTTCTAACATGCTTAATGACTTGGGCCCATGAGCAAAATAGTTGGTGGAAGGACTTGTATGCATTTACAGGAGGGCATTGTGCTTGAGTTTGACTACCTGCACATGGAGTGCTGCAGAGTCTGACGGCAGGCGGTGTGTGCTGTGGGACCAACAAATGCTTCTATGGTGGCTGCTGAGAGGGGCTGTGGGGACAATTCTCGAGGAGAAGGAGCTAGCAACCTTTAGGACTTTAATACTTGCAAGTTAGGGACTTAATCTTTCTATGAATCTAACCCGGAAGGAGCAATTTCTTTGAAGGTCTGTTGGGAAGTACTCAGCCATTTGGCCTCTTCTGGAAAAGGAGAGGAAGACACAGCAAAGGAAGCAGTGCAGGGAAGAGGCAGCAGGGAGGAAGGATGAATCAATAAATTAAAATGCTGCCTTTTCTTTGTAAAAGTAGAAAAGGGAAAATAATCGAGAAAAAAAAAGAAAAATAGTAAGTGAAAACTGAGGAACTATAATTCCGTTACCGTATTCCTTTGAGAGTCACAGAGCAAGATAACAGACACCTTTTTATAATACTTCTATTTGTTTTCTGATACCTGTTTTGCTAGCATCTCTTTGAAGGTCTGTGGTGGTTAAGTTGGTTGTACATATGTGTTAAGCTTCCACTTGCACAAACAAAACTACTCTTGGATGGCAAACGTGTTCCTCCCATGTCCTCTCTCTATGGCTCCAGACACGAAGGGAAAGACAGCTACAGCTACGCCCTGGTTTGTTATTGCTGACTGATGCTCCAGTAGGAAAAGCTTGCACTTAGTGTCTCTGTACATTATGCAATTTTTCTTCCTTTAAGATAATTATTGTATCTTTAGTCCACTGGCTTTAACACATACACAGATATAGTTGATGTAGTTGGAACATGGAAGCTGTCACTGGGGCCGCAGTGGACAGTACCCAAGTATTACAGATTCAAGACTTTGTTGTCAGGCATGGAAATCATTTTGACCCACGTGAACATCAAGTGCCCTCGCTCCCTCAGGAAAGCAGATATGGTAAGCAACCGTAAGTTGCTTCTTTTCAAAACTAACACAGGTGTCCAGAGAGATTCTGCTTCAAACTTTTCCTCCTCCAAGTGCTTCCTTTGCAGTGAAAGGGGACAGTTCTAGGCAAGATCACTAATTTTATCACCCCAGTAGTGTGTAGATACATGAAACTGCAGAGCAAACACAGAATTCAGGAAGGTCACTTGGTTTGAAATGGACTTTTTCACTTCATCAGTTTGCTCATTTGCAGGCGGGCAGACTGGTGTGACTGGTGACATGCTGCTTTCTTCAGGTCTGAGCAGAGCATTTGGGGAGGTAGTTTACAATTGACATTTGGTTGGCATCAAGTAGATCTAGGCAGACTGTAGCAGTGGCTTCATTACTGATAGCAGGAGCTAGAAGAAACCAGTGCTGGATCGCACTGATTAAGAAGTTTCATACACCAAATACTAATTTCTGAGATCCTGACAACAGTGCTGCAAGTCCTAGTGCCTCTCCCACCTTGGCTGTGTTTTCTCCCAAGGTGATTCTTAGTTACTAGAGGCTGTATTTGTGGTACCTGTATACTTCAGGTTATTAGGGGATCCATCCAGAATGGCCCAAAATGTTACAGTCTCAATAGGTAGTCATCTAGTTTTATGTAGATTCTTATCAGTAATAATAGTGGGAATATGTTCAGGGGCTTTAGGGCTCTATATTTTGGTTGATTGTCTCAGAATTTTCTGTCCCATGATGGTGCTAACATGTTATTCCTTCACCAGAACAGTTTATGTTATCTATTAACGTTTTCCATTCTTGTTCATAATATCACCCTTTGTACAGACCTGGAAAGAAACTGAAAATGTGTGCAATTTCAATTTATTTCTCTGCTAGTGATGTTGGTCTCAACAGTTCTGCTGATGCTGTACTTTGTTTGACTCGTGTTTCATTTACTGCCTTGTTCTATGCTGCAGGAATGATTGTGCTTCATCGGAAGTACCATGAAGTATGGAACAGGAAGGACATACTGTAACCAACTTTATTTGTATGTGGAGGATAGTTCACCCAGTGTAATAGGTTGACCTTGGTGGGTAGCCAGACACCCATCCGGCTGCTCTCTCACTCCCCCTCCTCAACAGGACAAGGGGAGAAAATAAGATGAAAAAGTTTGTGGATCAAGGGAGATCACTCACCAGTTGCTATCACAGGCAAAACAGACTTGACTCAGGGAAAATTGATTTATTGCCAATTAAAATAGAGTTGGACGGTGAGAAACAAAAAACCCAAAATCATCCCCCATCACCTTTTCCCCAGGCTCAACTTCTTTCCCAACCTCTGCCTTTCCATCGCGAGCAGTGCAGGGGGATGAGGAATGGGGCATAGTGGTCAGTTCATAACAGTTCCTCCCTGCCTTTCCTTCCTCCTCACGCTTGTCCCTGCTCCAGTGTGGGTCATCTCCACAGGCCGCAGTTCCTGCCAGGAGAACCTGCCCCAGCACGGGCTCTCCACGGGCTGTGGTTCCTTCAGGCAATATCCACCTGCTTCAATCTGGTCCTGTCCACAGGCTTCAGGGAAATTCCTGCTTGTACTGTGGTTGCTTCCAAACTTTCTCTGGGTTGCAGGGGAATCTGCTCCAGGGAAATCTCTGCTCCGGCGACTGGAGCACCTCCTCCTGTTCCTTCTTTCCTGACCTTTGTGTTCACAGGGCTGTTTCACACCTCTTGTTTCCTCCTCCTCTGTCTGTGTGATGGTTTTTTGCCCTTTCTTAAATATGTTCTCCCAAAGGTGCCATCAGGGTGGCTGAAGGGTGCAGCAATGTCCTGGGGGTCCACTGGAGCCAGCTGTGTCTGGCACAGGGCAGCCCTGGATGCTCCTGGATGCCTCCGCAGCCCCACCACCCCGCTACCAAAACCTTGCCTCTTAAGACATGCAGGCAGATTGTATTGGCCAAAATCCAAGTGGATTTGAGGACTATTTTAAGAACTAGAAAAAAAAAATGGTGCTGCTGCCGCCATTTCTTACAGCGTTTATCTGGGGGCTTTACTTTGGCTCTTAATTATTAAGAGAATTCTTACTTGGCCAGATTTTTTAACTAAACTGGTCTGTTATGTACATCTGTGGGTGTACACCTGTCCTGTGTCTTCCTCATAGATCATGAGGTGGCCCTGGGAACATTTGATGAGTATTTCAAGATGCGTTTCTTGGAAGGCATTGTGGCAATGCAGCTTATAATGAGCATCCCTGGCTTTTTGTTTTGAGATACTTCTAAAAGGAATGATGTTTCCTCTGATGACATGCATTCACCTGTTTTAAGCACAACCAGAAAACTAGAATCATGACCCCTGCTTCAAGTAAAATCATTTGACTGCTGTATTTTTTTTAAATAAAAGGCAATGTCATTTTTAGTTGCTGTTCAAACATATTGATGAATAAAATCTTCACAGTAAATACTGAACTGTTTCCTGACCAGGAGAATGCACTGCAGCTGGGCGTGTTTAGTGAAGTAATTGCATGATTGAGCATCCTTTTTTTAAAGCAATATTTTATTATTACCATTACTTTGGGAAATTATGAACAATGCATTTGTTTGACTAAATTATTATTAATTTTTACTTTGTTTGAAACTCGGCTTTCATAGAGAGTTAAGTACATTTGACATTTAAAATCCACTGAACAAAAGCAAAAGTGTGCAGTGGAAGGAAATGGAGCTATGTCTGATGGTTATGTTGTGTGTGATTTTCAAGGTATGTAGTCTCACTTGCTTAACTCTAGTTTATATATTAAAATAAAACCAAAATTTGTCGTAATCCTTTACATTTCAGTCATTTTCTCCACTTGTGTTAGCTGGTGGCTGTAAAAATGAGTAAGCTGGATGACTTGATCTGAAAAGCATTTTCTGTTTCTTTGTAGCTGCAGGTGAGGCCACTGCTGTGTAAAGCTGCACGTTCTCTTTCCAGGCACTTGGAAAACTACTTTCCAGTGTTCAATTTAAAAAATATTTTTGCAATAGGAGATAAATAAAGTTTTCTTTTTTAATGGGAGGTATTTTAATGTATAATTTAATTTACATCTGGTACATTTTTCAGAAAAATACTTACAGAGAGCTGTGTACTGCATTGAAACTAATTTGGTTTTTTTTTTTTTCCTAATGCGTACATAGGTCAAAGATTACTGGGAAGTTCAGCACCTGTCAATATTCCAGGTTCTCTTGTTCGTTCCTCATCTTTACATTCGTCATCGTCCCTCTCAACCTCTCCACTCAGTTCTCTTTCGCAATCGCTGTCTCAGTCTTTTGTCTCGTCCACTGCGGCTCCTCAGCACCAGCAGCCTCAGCCGCTGAAGACAGAACATAGCATGTTAGGCCCCTCAGCCTCTCCTCACAACTCCTTAGGTAAGCAAGCTGAAGGCTGCACTCTGTGTACTGCAAGAGAGAACTCAGTGGCAGGTGAGAAATGTTCAGTTTAAGGTTTTGCATGTTTCTTGTGACTTAATCTGGGCAGCAAAGCCCAGCTATGGTAACTGATAACAGAGTTAGATGTGACGTGTGGGAGAAAGTTCAAGGAGTGAACTTCCATGGCTAGTGAAGGGAAAAAAGAATTCTTGGAAAAGGAGATACTTACAGAGGCATTTGAAAAGGGTAACGTAGAGCAGTTGGCATGCAGGCAGCAAGAATGCATCTTAGCTGCAGCATTCTGCTAAAGGAAAATACAAAGCAGAGAAAGAGGAAGAATTAAAATCAAGTATGAACTGCTGGGAACAAAGCTTTTTGCATATAAATGAATTCCCACTCTTCCTTCTCCTTTTGTGGACTGTACTGTCTTATTAAAAGCAGCAAGAAAAAACCCACGTGGTAAGTCTCCTGAATTGCTGTAAATACTGTAAACATTTTCCAGACTGTCACATTTCTGAAGGTAGTGAAATAACGTTACAAGTCCTGCAGATAAAAGTATAAATTCTATTTTGTTCTGCATGTGAAATATTTTGCAGCAGCATATGCAGAATGATTTTTTCCCTCCCTGCCTTTGTTTTACAGGTCTAAATGGTGTTACAGGGAACATCTGGGACTTTGTAACTGGGAGTTTCTCTCCTAGTCCCTCTCCAGTACTAAGCAGTGGCACTACCCCCTCAGTAAGTTCAAACACCAGTGGGAACGAACTCACTCGAGTTAGACAGGAACTTGATGATGCCAAGAGAAAACTAAAGCAATGGGAAGAATCTTGGCAACAAGTAAAACAGGTAGGCTAATTTATGATAATACTAAATTATATACTTTCTTTTTTAACAAACAAGCAACTCCTACTGCTTTTCCTTTTTACATATCTTCTTATCCTTGGACCCAGAGTTTTATTACAATCTGTCAAAGGAATGTTTCCTTCATCCTCAAAATGAGCTATCAGCATAAAGGGAACGGAGCTTTTTAAAGGGCAGTCTGTTTTCTGAAAGTTGATCTGTCTCTCCAGACGGGGACACTTAGAGATATTCAGGATAGGGCTGAACAGCAACGTACCTTGATGTTTAACTAAAGACATACATTCCCTCCCATGCCTCTTTCAGATGATAAGCAAGCAAAAGAAGTAGATGCTTGCCAGCAGCCTTGGTTCTTTGCGGTACCTGGGCAGTCTATAGGCATCTCAGCAGTCAAACTGAGGTTGTTGGTAACTGCCAGTCGAGTGCATTTTCTGCAGCCCTTTCCTTCCCCTCAGGTTGTTCTCTCTGTGATGAGGCGTAGCTAAGTAGCTGTACTACATTTTGATAGTTTTTGATGTCTCTTGACATTAAATTACAAATTTAACATTTAAAATGTGTTCCATTTATAGAGCTCCAAAAAGGCTTCTGGCTGTTTATAGCCAAATAACACTGGCATACCTAAAAATTGCATTAAGACAAAGCAAGAAGATTTGTTAATTAGAAAGTAGGATAAGTAGGGAGAAGCTTTAAATTGACAGTAAATGCATTGTTATATCTAAAATTAGAGGTTACCTGCAATTTTGAAGGCTTTTGAATTTGTTCTTCTGTTGTTAATTTAAAAAATTTATTTTTTTATATTCTGGAAATCTTTCTCCCAGGCGTGTGATGCATGGCAGAAAGAGGCTCAAGAAGCAAAAGAACGTGCTAACATCGCAGATGCAGACAAACAACTCGCTCTTCAGAAGAAGGAGGAAGTGGAAAATAAATTAAAAAAGCTGAAGGCGCAGTTAGCTGCTTGTCTATCGACTACATTACCTTGTATGAAAAACTATGGAGATATAGAAAAGGTATCCTTGCCAAAGCTTCGTTCCTTACAAAATCGGCTGCACTTAGATTTAGAAACAATAGATGAGGTGAGTTTCTTCATCTGCATAACTATTTCTGATTAACTGAAACTGGCAGCCCAGTAACTTTCAGTGACATATTTATGCCAGGTTTCATTTCAAAGAGCAACATTGCTCTCAGTGTTAAGTCTTGTCTGGAATATAGGATGGTTCAGATTTATCGACCTAATGGATTCTCCTAAGTTTTGATCAGCTATCAGAAAAAATTACAAGTGATTCACAGGAATTCTTGGGGTGATTAAAAAAAAAAAAGATTTAAAGCCAGCTTTTACCCCCAACATTTTGGGCATTACCTAAATAAATAAAAGTAGTTGCCCTAAATAAATGAAAATAGTTACATGCTTTTCACTTGCTTAGAAGGTAGGTGGTGAGGTTCCCTCCTAGGAGTTTCTGTAGTCAGAGAGGCCAGAACAGACTTGGAGCGTAGAATCATTGACATTAGAAGGAACCTCTGGAGATCATCCAGCCCAACCCCCTACTCAAAGTAGGGTCAACTCGAGCAGGTTGCTCAGGGCCTTGCCCAGTACCATTTTGAGTATCTCCAAGGATGGAGACTCCACCACCTCTGTGGGCAGTCTTTTCCAGTGTTTGACCACCCACACAGTAAGAAAAGTTTTTTCTTATGTCTGTGTGAAACAGTCTGTATTTTAACTTGTGCCCATTGCCTCTTCTTTCACTGGATACCACTGAGAACAGTCTCCCTGTCTGTTTCACTCCTCCCATCAGGAGCTCTTTCAGCCTCACCTCAGATGTTTCAGTCCCTTCATCACCCTAGAGGCATATTGCTGTATTTCACCTTCTCTCAAATCCAGACTCAGTTGCTGCCAAAATTTAGGATGCTTTATTGCAGCCAGATTGAGGGCGTTTCTCAGGGCTCTCAGAGCTGGGAATATCAGGTGCCACTCCTCGGAGCACATCAAGGAAGATGATAATGACCACACACCACTCCAGGCACCATACTTCAAACCTTGCAGGCCACAGCTTGGTTCCACGTTGCTTTTTCCTCTGCAGTCTCAAAGGGCCGTGACACATGTGGCCCCGATTCTTGCTATTTTGTTGGGACCGTGATGGGACTGTCCAGACAAAAAAAAATATTTCCTTTCACTACTGGGACAATCTGCTGTACTCTAGTACCTGTTTGAGTTCAGCAGTGGCTTCTCTGTCTCAGTGCACCTCCTGTCCAGTGCCATTTGTATCCATATGAACTTCAGTCTTGAAAAAAAAGCCAGGCTCTCTTTTAGAAGAGTTTAAAACGTAATTTAAGTCTTTGTCAATAAAGTAGGTGGATGAGGACGAGACTTGCTAGTTACCGGGCTCCTGTTATCAAGTGCATTTACAGGATTCTCCATTGGATTAGGGACCGCTATTGTTTTTCTCCTAAGGGATTTTAAAGAGGAGCAAAAGAGCCTTGGGATCTCTTACCAAAAAAGTCATTACATCCTGGAATGGAAGTCATCTCAGCCAGGCTGGAGTGATCAGAACTGTTACCACCTTTTCCAGCTCCTCAGTTTCTCAGGTTTCCTTTACCACTGTGGCCCCTTGTCTTAGGCAGCGACACCCATAGCGTTCTGGGTTCTTCTCTTGGTCCGAACCATGTCTTGCTGTTCAAAAATGAACACAGCTTTTCAGTTCTTCTTGTTCCTTGATAGGGTTGGTACGCCTTATCACATGGAGACATACAGTTGTAATGTTCTCCCCAAAGCTTGCATCAGTAGCTCTATTCAAAGCATCGCACATTTGGGATGCTTCCATTTTGTCCTAATGCAAACATCTCCCACAGCATGAGAAAATCTGACAGTGGTTTGAAATGGCAAAATGAGGCTTAGTTCCTCTTTTTTTTTTTTTTCTTGCTTGTTTTCATCATTCATCCCAGTTATGCAGGAAAATTTCAGTCCAGAGGTTCAATCCGAGATATTTTCCTTTCTAAAAGCACCTGTACTCCAGCTGGTACGTTAAAGGTTGAGCATGCTCTGATCTTATGACCCTCAGTTCAGCTATCTGGCATACAAAAGCATTGTCGTTTGTATTGTTAAACGAGGAGTTTATTCAGGACAGCTAAGTGTGAAGCTGCTAGAACGCAACTGTATGCCTTGGGATATAGTGCAGCACGGTGCACTTTTACTAAGCGCAATAATCTTTTTACAGGTGATTTTTCAGCTTCAGTCAAAGAAGTGTATCCTGTGTCAGGAAGGTGACTGTGGTATTGTCCTGAATCCATGTCAACATTACGTACTTTGTGATCACTGTGCAGCTGCACAAGAAGAATGTCCCTACTGCAAGAAAAAAAAAAATCTGTGGTAACATACAGGCATAGTTCTTGTATCACGTTCATTAATTAAATAATTTTATGGGTTTGTATTTTGTATAAGAATTATATCACTCATAATTAATCCATTTAATAGTGCTAGACTGATTTCCATTTTGATGTGAGAAACTTGGTTGGTTGAAGATAGAGAGAGGGCTCGCTCATCTTTACGTATCAACATCAGTCACTTGATGGGGTTCTGTAGTCTTGCGGTTCTCTCATTGCCCCCTGATCCCATCGCAGCCTTTTCTGACTTCCATTCACATACCTAGCGCACAAGCTACTTAGGTCCATTTACTGTGTAATCACTTTGTATAAATCTTACCATAATGCCTGAGTTAAATCTTTATACCTGTTGTTTTCATTAACAGAAGATGGATACGTAGGCACAATAACTCCCCACTCAACAGTACAAACGGTCCCTTGGCCACGTCTGTTGTGTGCGGAACTCCAGAGCCAGTATTTTGGAATCGGTCTAACACTATGTTTACTTGGATGTTTGAAAAACTCTAATTAATATAAAAGCACTTTTTAATTATTGTGTTTTGTTAGAAGATATGTTGTAAATTGCTTCAAGCTGCTTTCTAGGTCTTATGTTTATTTTTTAATATGCAATAATATGATGTGTTATAGGAGTACTGTGAATTTAAAATATTCCACATGGTTTTCCTGTTAAATCACAACATGATTAAATAGAAATGACAACTTATCTGGTTTTTTTTACAATTTATAAGTTAACTGCATACTGTCGTATTTATAAATGTACCAGCGGAGACATAACCACTGAGGCACATGTGCTTTCGTATTCAAAGACGTGTTTTCAATTTTGTGAAATGGATCAGTTTTAGTAAACAACTGTGCATTTGCCTATTTCCCTCAGTTTGGATGTTTGTGGTCTTAAAGTTTTTGTAGATCTCCTAACCTGTGTGGTACTCATCGGGAGCACACATGATATATATATATAAAATATTACCAAGTGCCTATGCCCCATATCCTATAAAATGGCAGAAGACAGAAGACATAAAAAAAGAATTTTGCAAATAATTTCTATTGCTTAATTTTGTATTGAACAATTTGACAGTAACTAGCATATGTCTCTTGCTTTTATAAATATTTAAAAATACACTTTTTTCAGTAATGAAGTAATACACGTTTGAAAGGAGCTACAAAATTATTTAAGTATGTAATCAGGCAGTGGCACGTTGACACAGTGATTCTTTTGAAGGGCAGTAGCATCCTTACTTCATCCTGGTAGTTAGGAACATGCAGTTCAGGAGGAGAAGTTAATTAATGTCTGCATGTTAACACTGTATATTTTTACTTTTCTTACATGGAACAACAGCCTGCATTACTCGCTTTTTCTGTTAAATCCAAGTGTGACACTGGTACGACTCAGACTGAAATGACCTATGACTGTATGACGTGACTTGCATTGCCGTATTACTGTACTCGGTACAAAAAGCGAGTTCACACAGGCAGCAAAGAGTTTATCTGTTTAAAATTTAGTCATGCTAAAACAACAAAAAAGATGATGTATACTAAAATTATTATTGTTGAAACAGAGCTTTTAGAAGTGCATCAGCACTAAATAAAGGGCCCAAGCCAATAGCACTGAAATCCCTATAATCTCCTTGGGGCTTTAGCGTTCTTTGCACAGAGGCTTGAGTTAGCAAAAAATCATTACGCGTTTTCTGCGAGAGCTGAATGTACAGCCTCGCTGCTGCTGTCTGCAGACCCGTCCGTCCGCAGGAATGTTTGGGACCTTTGTGGAAGGGAGAAGCAGGATGAAATATTAAATACATTTCTACTTGATTCTGTTAGAAATTTTTGCCTGAAGTTCACTTGAAGACCAGAGTTGGGTTTAGTAATGTGACTTTGTTGACTTTAACAGTTTCTCCAAAACATTTGTAGCGAGAAAAGTCTAAGATTGGACTGTATTTGCATTTTCAAATACACTTTTCTGTCATAAAATAAGATATTGCCATTTTAAAGGTGTAGCCAACTTTAGACTTCTGGAAAAAGGTACTTGGATCGCTAAGTGTGGCTGTGGGTGTTCATGTGTTGTTTGCACCTGTGCAGCCTACGGCAAAGACTGACTTTGGAACTGCAGCAGCATTTTGGACTAAAGCAAACTTTGTTATGTACATGGTGTTTGGGTTTTTTTTAACCAGTGAGCAAATCAAAGAACAATATGTAGTTACCGTTTGAAGAGATGTTACACGTCGCCGAAGCAGTTGTTTTAGGCACCAGTTTGCTAGGTGTATCTAGTGTGGAGCACCACCCTGCCACCGCTGTGCACGCACAGAGGCTGAGGAACATCGCAGTGGGAAGTGTTGCGTGGGTATTTTAGGAGGAGGCGGTTGGGACCATGTTGCACTGCCCGTGTGCTGCTGCCCAGCGTTTGTTACCCACCAGATGCAGAAGCGTGGGTCTGTGCTGGCTTGTCGAAGCTTACAGTTCTCTGTGTGCACTTCAGTGCATTTGCCTGTGTCCTAGGGCTACTTTTTGGTCCCTTTTTTTTGGTAGTAACAAGCGATTTTCCTATTCTCTCAAGACCAACAAAACGGGAACATAAACAGCACTTGCGGTGTGAATCGTCCCATTGGCGTCCGTACTTCATAGGTGCTGCATTTTTAGGGGAACTGAACCAATATGTGCAGTCTGTTGCTTTTAAAAGTTGTATGTTTTGTGTTTTGCAGTGATGAATCTTGAAGATAACGATGTGTGTCCTATAGTGATATCAGTACTGAAAATGTTGCAGGTGTTCCCTGTAAGTTTCTTTGGTGCTGAATTACAGACACAGTTAAAAACTGTCAACAAACCATTTTGTGGAGGAGAAAACCTATGCCAAAGAGACGTACCCATGTGAGAAACTCTCAGACTGGGCAGCTTGCTGTAATTACCGACAAATCCTTAGGTGATCACTTGTATCATGCACAGCAGTCATCTGAAAATAACACAGTTGTTCTTCACAAAATTCTCATTGTGAGGAATTACAAGCAGTTTTCTCTATCTCATTAAAGGAAGTCAGCTGCAAGTACAAATAAATACGTGCTTTTACACCGGTACTTTAAAATGGAGGATGATAAAATACAGGCAGTTGATGAGAGACGACTGTCTGGGAGAAGGCAAACCTGACCGCTGCAAGTCTTTGCCCTTGTACTGTATACACTGGAGAGAAACGGGATACATCAAAAGTGTATTTTAGCAAGACTGCAGTCCGGTAATTTGCTGGATTCACAAAACACATGAAAGCAAATTAAAGAGATTTTCAAGATTCATTTTGGTATTTGACAAAGTTCTGTGTTAATTTATGTAAGAGTATAATTTTTAATGTGAATGCCATTATGTTGTCACAATTATTTTAACCTGGGGAATAACAGATTAAAATTGTGATTTCTCAGGGTTTTTACAGTTAGGAGCTGTAACTTAACTGGCAGTATGCTAATTACAAGTAGGTCCCAAGCTGCATGTTATAGGCTTATTATTAGTCTTCTTTGAATAGCAGATTATTAAAGACATACTTGTTTGTTCTATATTGCCATTCAGAGTAGCCGAGTACTAAACATAGGTAGTAATGTTATTACTGTCACACTATGCTCTTGTAACTGTGGTCGTCATCAGACCCTAGATAAATACAGAATTTTTACTCATACTAATTTATGGAAGCTGTTAAATGTTTTGAGTGTACAGACAGAAATGATTTTGTGAATGAAATTGTTCTTAATGCAAAACATATTATTTATAATGCATACTCATTTACTTGTAGTGAACTGTTTAAAATTGTTAACACTTGTTAAAACTTTTCTACACTATAGCGTTTATGCAATGGTTTACAGAAGTCATGGAATTATTTTTATTACCAACATGGAAATAAAATTTTGATCTTAATTTCTGAGCTATACTGTGTTTAAGGACTCAAAAATTTACAGTTAGGTTCCTCTGCAGCCTAATGCTGGCGTTGCAAATCATTTCAGGGTTTCAGCCACTGGGACTGGCATTTACTGGTCCAGTGGAGAAAGAGC